TGTTTTAGGGTAATATGAGGAAAGTGGGCAGGTGACTATTTCACTTTCTTCACTTTTCTCATTTTTTCAGTTTAATTTTTGATGTATGATTTTAATGTTGTGTGCTACTCATTTGAGTATTTGTTTAATTGAGTAACCTTGTGGGCCATACAAATGTTAGAGAATCATAATATAACGATGTTCATACAACACAGACAATAAAATTCCTCGTATATGGATATTCCAGAAGTGTGGTTAGCATCTTATGTTTCTTTTCCTTCTTTCTTATGTTTATTAACCTGTTCACTTTATGAGAGAGAGATGGAGAGATAGGCACCCTCCACTGGGTCCCCAAGCTGCGAACCATTCTCGGTGCCTGCTGGCCTGGGTTACAGGCACACATGTGTCTTGTGTGCTCAGGGCGGTCCCTGGGCACAAACCCAAGACCTTTCCCACGTGGTCCGGTTTCACTACTGCAAGCCACTGCCTGGCCCTTGCAGGGTTTTACTGCCATAGTTATGGGTATCTATTATCATAGACTCACATTAATTAATCTTTAGCACCTGGTATAGAATTCCTGTATTAATGTGTTTCTTTTCTTTCTTTCTTTCTTTTTTTTTTTTTTTGTTACAAGCAGTTGAATATTTGTTAAATTGTGTGGCTAGCCATTTATTTCTACTAGAACTTTTGCTCTGCTCCTCCCTGCTTATAGATAACTGATAAGAGAAAGAAAGAGACCTGCCGGAGGACATGTACGCGGGAGGAGCAGGTGCAGAGCCTGTAAGAGGTGTATTCCAGCTGCCATGCTGCCAGTGTGTGTGGGGACATGCATAACAACACTGGCCTCTGGTCACTTGACTTTCTGTTTATTTGGTTTCTAGATAATAATAGTGAAGAATATTTTGTCATGGTGATAGGTGAGTGTTATTATCTAATGCACGGTTTCCTAAATTGTATATGCTTGGACTAGATTGCTCCCCACCCCTTTTTTTCCCCTGGTATAGGGCATGTGCACTTGTCAGAGAGATACAGAGAGAAGTGAGAAAGCAATCCCCACGAGGTAGGACCACTTCACAGTCCCTTCTTGATTTTCTTCTCAGGATTTTGAGTATGTACACACAGGTGCCTGGTGAGTTTCTTAAGTCACTGGGTGTGGGACTTGAACCATGCACTTGGTCCTGTGCAGTCCAGCCATCCTAACCACCATGCTCCTTGCTAGCCCAATTTTACTTAATTTTAATCACTTTACAGTTACATAGTAATAGGTAGTCCTGTCTAGTGTTGGATAAGTAAAATAAAAAGGTTCTTTCCACCCACTCAGCCCTCTTTCTCTGAGGGTTTAGAATAATCTAGACTCATACTTTAATCTTCCTAATTGCCTTTGCCTTTTATTTTCAGTGCGCTTAATTTTTGCTTATTATATGATAAAAGAGGCCTTTCTGTTGCAGGCCTCCCTCATTTCCCCGTCATCTTCAGCTTATCAGTATGTACACTGACTCTTTGTGTCACGGTGAGCACTGTCACACAGTAACGGCCCTCAGAATGTGTTCTGGCCTTTTTGACCTTATTGGAGTGTCTGTGTGTTTTTCTTCTCTGACATACATATATGCCTTTTCCCCATCCGTTGGAAAGCAAAGTGATTCATGTATTAATGTCTATTTCCGTAAAGGAGTTGCTGTGAAGCGCTCATTGTCTTACCGAGGGTAGCAGCTGTGGTACCAGGGAGCCAGGTGTTAATCTAGCCATTGCGACCGCGCTTGCTGCTGGAAACCAGCAGTGTTGAGGCATCGATCCTAGACAGTTCCGCTTCCTTGGAAGCCTGCCATTTTTATTTTGTTTGTGATAAGATTGGTTTCAGGTCTTTTTCGTTCTTTGAAGATTTTGTATTGAATTATGGTTTTGTTCTCTGATTTCTGCTCCGAACAAAAAGGTTTACGACTTCTGAGATCTTTGTTTAGCCTAGACTGATGAGGCAGGTCAGTTCCAGCAGCGACTGTGTGCTAGCCACTTTCTGGGTGCAATAGCAGGGAGCAGGGCTGACCAAACCCTCCTAATTGATTGGTTCATTGTCGTTAGGGAAATGGACATTAAGGACATAAATAAAACAGTAGGCAAAGCTGCGTTTAGGGAAAGGGGAGTAGCAGGGCATTTTGGTAGAGCATGGCTAGGCTTGGCAGTGTTGCAGCACTGTGGGTCGAGTGCTTAGGGAAGAGCGATCCCATAGGCTTCCAGCCCACCGGCAAGATCCTGCATTGCTTCATCTGGCGGGGTGCTCTAGAGTGGTCCTCCTCTGAGTCTGTCTCCCTGAACCTGCCGGAAATCACCATGGCACATCCCCCTGGATGGTTAGGGATGCCGTCTCTATGGTCCTCCTCTCCCAGCACTCTCACTTAAAGGAACAACCAGGGCTGATTTCCCTGGACTCACTCTCTCACATCACTGTTTTCACAGCTAATACACTGCGCCCCTGAACTGGTTACAGGAAAGCTCCGCAACGATCTCTTAGTCTGAGGTTGTTTAAGGCTGGTCTCCCTTAGTTAGTGCTTATGTGTTTTGTGTACTTTATATAACTCTGCATGCATTTTTTGTGTTCACAAAGTATTTGGAGTAGATTTTGTGCACATCACTTTTATAGGGAGGTGTCTGCTATTATCAAGAGGCAACTTGATATCTTTCTTGGCCTTTTTAGAAATACTCAGCCAACTACACACAGTCGTGCAGCAATGATGTTTCCCAAGACAGCAGGTTGCCTGTGCCATGGTGTCCTGAGAGGGTGACTTTGCGCCGAGGTGTGTAATAGGCTAGCCCAGGTGGGTTTGCGTAAGTGCACTGTGTGCACAAGGACACAGCTGTCAAAGGGTGCATTCCTCGGACTCTACCCCTGTTGTTAGTGACACGCGCCTGCACGTTCCCGTTTTACAGGACACTAGGGTAATAGAAACAGAGCCGGGTGTATGGTGGTGATTACACTGCCATCTGTGTTGTCTCTAAGTTTGTTTCTGCTTGAAATCCGAGACCCTATTCATATAGGGGCAAAACATTTCATTCTTCATGGAAATAAAGTCACACCAGGAATTAAAGGGACTTGCTGGACTCCGACTTTGGTACCTGGCTTTGTACATCTTTCCTGTCTCCCCCACGCAGGTGTCACAGGAGCTCCTGATATTACCTTTGTATTTTAAGTAAATAACAAAATCAAGGTAGCGTCAGAGTTCTCATTTATGTCAGAGTATAAAGAGTCTATTACAGGGGTCTTTATTTCTTATAAGAAATAGGAACGCAGGAACCTGTCCTCATGGTTAAATAGCATTTATTTATTTGAGAGTAACATTGATTTTGTATACACTGTCAGCCCTTCCACCCAGCTGAGAGGTTTTCCCGCAGATGTAGCAACAAGTCCTCTTTAGAGACTCCCCTACCCTCTGTCCTTACGCACTCCTGTCTGTTGACTCCGGGGTGTTGTCGCAGCCAAAGGTAGTACACGTTGTGCTCCTCCTCTCCCCGTAGTTCGGCTAGGGGTGGGGACAGACTCACTGCTCTTCGGCCTTAGCAGAAGTCATCTGCAGCTTGTGAGAGGTGCCCTCCCAGAACCAGAGTCAGCGTGAGACAACTTTCCCAGGTGCCCTCTGAAACATAATGGCAGCCTTCTTTGCAGTCCCCCAGCGTTGTTGTTCTCCACTCTTACGGTTAGTAAGGTGTGGGTTTCTTTATCTCAGAACTTCTTGTAGAAGTCTCTGCTACGTTGCATATTGTTCTGAACTCTGAATTCCCTTCTCTGCTCTGATATGTGGGGCCTGCTTTCAGACCGTGGTCTTGCCAAGAGAAGAAGGCTTCCCGTACTCAGGGTGTTCAATAACAAGGGAAGTAGTTGTTCCCGCCCTCAAAGTGCTCAGAAGAGTTCTGGCAGGTGGAGCGGAGTTCTTCCTCGCCTGCAGGCAGACTAAGCCCGGTAGCACAGGCTGCGGACTGGCACATCTGGGTGGCTGAGACCCTGCGAGTGGCTCTTCCTCAGTAGCCCTTGGTCAGGAAGTGGCATGTCCCAGGGCATAGTGTAGTTTAGATGTGTGTTCTCAATGCTAGTTAGGTGGCTTTGTTTAAATTTCAAGTGTCTGTAAGAGATGATTACCCACTATACATTTGTTGGTTGTACACATTGTATTTAGCATTTCCCATCTTTTCCAACATTTCTCCAAAAGTTACCCTTTTCCTCCCATACCAACTCCTAATGTGCCATGGATAAGGACTTTTTTCAAGCCTTCTTGATGAAAAACTTCCTTCTGAGAGTTACTATCATTTCAGCCGCCAAGAACAGAAAGCTCTGTTTAACCCCCAGACTAAGGTCAGTTTATTCGTAGGTTTCTCCTCAGCTTCGTCTCTCCTTCAGCGTCTTGTTTCTATAGCAGCGGAGGTACAGTGTACGGCTAGAGCAGAAGAGGCCCTAGGTGTAAAGAAACCATTGCTTAGCCTCAGAGCAGGCACCGGCGACACCTCTGCATCTCACATGCTGAAGGCTAGTCTGTCTCCAAGAATTCCAATTCGACTGGTACGGATCATTTTCTGTTTTCTTAAAGAAACTAGATATTCGCCTCTTTTTCACTCAGCCCCAGAAAAGATGCTCCTGTTGCATTCTGCTACTGATCGCAGTCAGATTAACGAGCCGCACTGACGAGAGGGCCAGGGCAGCACCGTGCCTCTGAAGGCGTCCCGGCAGCACAGAGCCAGGGCCCGCAGCCACAGCCCCTTAGGCCTGTCTCTGGGGAAGCGTGCTGCTGCGCCTTGTCCTGATGATGGGCGGAGGGTGCGGGCCCTTGGCCAGCCTGGCAGGCCCTCAGGAAGGGGGCGCTGGGGTGGAAGTGCCCTCAGGCCGGCACGCCCCAACAGGGACGGTGCTAACCAGCACTCGCGGACAGTGGGCACGTATGCCTGTTCCAGAGCCGCGTGGGCGCTTCTGTGGAAAGCACACCATATTTTAAAGGGGAGTCGTTGATGCTGGAGGAAAATTATGCTTTTTTATATTATAGGAATTACCGTCCGTGGAAGAACTCACTATTATTCTGCCTGAAGATATTGAATTAAAGCCTCTTGGGATGGTTTCAAGTATTATTGAACAATTAGGTATGTACATTTTATTAATGAGAAGTTTATATGCAGAACTGTGCTAATAATTAAATCAAAGATTTTAGCATATTTTTTCTTTGGAATATATAGTAACATTTCATTTTGTAGTCATTAAGTTTGAAGGAATAAAATTCAGTTCTGTTGTAAAAGTAATACATAAACACACTCTCTATAAAAGTTTAAAGTTTGCCTTTTTATTTTTTTCCTTACATTAAGGTTTTTGCTATAGAGCGTATGTGCTCCCTGTGGGGGGAGAGAGAGAGAAAGAGAAATCACCCTCCCTCCCCCCAGGGGGATGGCCATGCTACAATCTCATCTCCTCTATTCTTTTCTTGGGATTTTGCATGATGTTTTAAGACTCCAGGTCTGGGACTCAAATCATAGTCAGCCACATAGGACTCTAATGCCTTTACCACCATGTCACCCGCTGGCCCAGGAACCTCAATTTTTTTTTTAAAGTTTTTTTTGTTTTGTTTTGCCATAGGCTTTGTGCGGTTGCTGCAGAGAGAGGGAAAGTGAGAAATCATCCCCCAGGGGGAGGACCACTCCAGTCTCTTCTCTTCTCTCCTCTCAGGATTTTGGGCACACACACACATGTAGCATGATTTTCAAGCCACAGGGTCCAGGAATGGAGCCACAGTTGGCCATATGGGAGTCTAGCACCTTACGTACCAGACCACCTGCTGGCCCCTAAAGTCTACTTACGATAACATACTTGACTTTATGCATTTTCTGTTGGGTCTCTAAGAGTTAGCACAGACTTAGCAGCTTTCTTACAGGGCACGTGTTTACTGTCTCACGGTGCTGTGGAACACACTCTGTCTCTACCATCCCTCGAAAGGTTCCCTGCCCTTAAGGGCCCTTAGATTGGGTTTACCAGTGTAATCAGGAAAATCTCCCTCTCCCTAAGGTCCTTAGCCTTAATGATGTCTGCAGAGCCAATTTAAAATGTAACATAATCACAAGGAAAGGATTTGGAGATCCTTTGCCTGCCACCTTTAATTTAATCTTATAAACATGTAAATTTGAAAGTTTTGTGATTATTATTAATAAGGATACTCTGTTAATTCAAATAAGAATCTAATGACCAGAAGAGGTAACTCAATATTGCATTCTGCTGCTGTCCAAGGTATAGTTTTTTGTTTTGTTTTAATTATTGAAAAACAAAGGGTCAATTAGATGTTATCCGTCTTGGTAGAGTGGAGAGATGTCTTTGAATTAATGGTCTTGTCCTAGTCCATACTTTCAGAGTGTTGGTTTTCTGCCTGAAACTGCCTGCCCCTGGAACCGTAATCATCAGAGAGTGGGTGTGGAAGCCCTTAGTTGTGTGATAGAGCAGCAAGGAAATGGGAACTCGGCATCCAGATTCTCAGAGGAGTCTGTCTGGGATTGGCTGTATGCTAATGTTAATCTCAAATCTGTTTTCTCATCTGTCTATAAATGAGGGCATTGGATTAGGTGATTTTTAATCTTGATTAATTTGATGCTTTGAAAAGGGGATTAGGGAAGAGTGATAATGGTGAATAATTTACTAGTGTTCACTTTCACTGCTTTTGTCAATCCTTACCGTCTTTATGCCAAAAGTAGGTTTAACTCGAAAAATATTGACCCATAATCTGTTGCTGTGTCTAGTTAATAACTTTGAAGAGCTCACTGTGGAAGTTAATATGGATACAGGAAAAAGTCTTTGAATTAATTTTAATAACATTAGCTAATCCATTCTTCAAGTGGGCATGCCATTTTTTGTGTAACGTAACAGCATTCTTGGTGCTTGCTCTGATTTTCTTTATAAGAACTTATGGCTTGGGCGTATATCTTTTCATTTTTGTTTTTCCCTTTTTCTCTTTGCTGTGGTTGTTTAACATTTGCAGCACTTATAAGAATAGGAGCTTATGTTAGATTAGTGGGATGATATTTTGCTTTTTAAAAGGAAAGTTCAACATCGTGATAAATGTTACTCCAATCCCTTGTCATTCTTTATCTGCTCAGAGCAGCATTTTTTGTGATGCCTTTAATTTAACTCTTTTGTATATCAGTAAGTAATCAATGCCCTGTAGAAAAGAAATATGAATAAGAAAGATTTTTCCTGAAATAGTTTAATGACTACGGTGATTATAGTCTTTTTTGTTTTACTATTGCCCGAGGGCCATGCACTTGCCAGAAAGAGAGAGGGAGAGGGAAAGCACCCTCAGTGGGGCGTGGTCATACCTCATCCTCCTCCCTTCCTCCTCCCTTGGGTTTGGGGCAGTGCTCACAAACTTCTGTGAGATTTTCTATTTTTATGACTTTTCTTAGAATATAATAGCTTTTTGTATCAAGCAAAACTATGTACAGTTCATCTCTTTGTGTGCTGTTTGGTAATACGTAGACTTTGTTTACTGGAGAGACAAAGTTATTGAGGTTTATTAGCTCACTTTAAATTTTATTTAGAATTACATTGGAATAAAAGCCTAAATTCTCATTAAAATTCTACATTATCTTCTGATTGAATCTTAAATTAATCTGTTTTGTTTTACTTTTCAGTAATAATTGAATCTATGACTAACTTACCTCCAGTTAATGAGGAGACTGTAATTTTTAAAAGTGATCGACATGCAGCCGGAAAGGTTTGTGAACAAAAATTAAAATCCTACAGATTTTTCTGGTTTTATTGTTGATTGTTTTTTTCTTATTTTCCCTGTGGGTTCACACTGGTCCTAAGAAGAGCTTATTAGTTTCAGTAGATGATCAGTCGAGGGCACTCCGGTACTTCGTGTCTCCCTGCAATTGATTAGTACCCTTTACCCCTCTTTGCTGCGGGAGCCATTAAATACAGGTGTTTGGAAATTCTTTCCAGGCCTTTCGTGGCTACTTTGCTAGGCAGGGGGCCTACATACTGCATACGACGTAGTGTCCTGGCGTCCCCGTTCTCAGCTGAGGGAAGATGCCACAGTGGTAGCACGTAACCACTTTGGCTTGTGAGTCCCTTTGAGTAGTAGCTGTCAGATGCTAGACTGACCTTTTCTGATAGTGGCTCAGAGCAGGATCTTTTTTCCAGTAGAAGACTTCACTGATAGCACTGAGGTGTTCATGTGAGTGCGTTCTGGGGCAGTCCGGGAACGTGTGTTTCAGTAATCCCTATAAGCTGGGTCCCTTTTGACCTCTCAGCACTGGGAGAACCCTGCATGTCCATCCTGAATCAGGAGCTGCACACCTTGCCCGGCAGGCAGGCAGTTCCGCACGGCTGCAGAGGACAGGACACCGGAGACCGGCAGTACAGTCCTGACCAAGTGTTGCTTCCTGGCCACAGGCACAGGACTTTACTCACGTCTCCGTTCTCTGCTGTACCTAGAGCAGTCCTCCGTGAGCAGTGCGTGCTATGTAAAAGTATGTTGAATTGTAAATGGACAAGAAACCAGCCGATGGCTTTGGAGAAACAGAATTTAGTTTTTCCTAGATACATGGCAGGTTTTTTTTTTTTTTTTTTTTGTAGTTGTCATCCCAGGAGATGTAATTCATATTTAATCAAGAAAAAACCTTGTGTTTCTTGGGTAGACTCATAAAACCTTCTCTGTTCCCTGCATCTTTCTATGATTCTGTTCTAACACAAGAAACTTTAGTTTAGTTTAGTTTTTCTATAGGGCACATGCACTCACCAGAGACAGAGAAAGTGAAAAATCACCCTCCAAGCGAGGATGGCCATGCTGCAGTTCTTTCTCCATTCTCTTTGGGATTTTGGGTGTGCATGCATATGTGCCTGGTGTGTTTTTCAGGCCTCCAGGTCCTGTACTCAAACCACACTCCTGGCCATGTGGGATCCAGCTGTTTTAACCTTCATGTGACCAGGGTCAGATATTTATCAGGGTCCTTCCACCTTTCACTCTTGTGGGCCAGTGTGTCCCCTTGGAATGCAAAACAGTCATTGGTGAGTTGTTTGGAGTCTAGAGAATTTGACAGTGTAGTTCTTGAGATGGTGAGGGGCAGAAGGGCTTGTTCGTCCCTGAAGGACGGCCTTTCCTCGTGGAGTACCTTGGTGCAGTGTTTGGTGTGAGTGTGGGACTCGGCACTTGTGGTTCGAGGAAGAAGCCCCTCGCCGTAGTGTGGACCACTTACTGAGGCTGCCTTCGGAAGGGGCTCGAGATGCTCCAAGGGCTGTCCCCGAGTGAAGCTGCGAGAGAACGGATGCTACAGGAGAAGGGACTGTGCTGTGGCTAGTTTTCTCTGCCCAGTTTTACAAAAACAAAACATTCTTGCTGTCCTCAAGAAGGTAGTAGCCAAGTGCTTCTGACGGTTCCACCTCTCACAAGTCCATTTCAGAAAGCGTGAAGTACAGGGATTTACATATACAGAAGTCCTTCCTGCATTATATTGAACAGATTGGAAATTGCCTAAATGTTCTACAGTAAAGACAAGTCCATGCATTTTAACTCGAAGCATTATGTAGCCACTACAATTACACTTAGAGTATTTATACATAGAATAACGTAATGTAACTTAAGGTTTTAAAGGTGGGGGCAAAGTTTAGCTTTTAAAGGGGGGCATTATACTAAACTACACAGTATAGCTTCAAAGAAAAAAATTGTTAATAGGAAAACGATTGGAAAAATCTTTGCTGACATTGGCCATTACTAGCATCTGTAATACAGACACTTATTACCAGAAACATGCTTTTCTAAATTTAGGGTTTATTTGAGAAGAGTTTGAAAACAAGAGGTTACCTTTCATTTATGAAACATTTTCAGAAATAATGTGGGCGGTCTTCAGAAAGTTTTTGGAAAATGCATATAATGAAAAATGCATGAATTTCCAGTTTTTTTGTGCCAAACTAAATATTTTAATTCAGTTTTTTTCATGAACATTTTGAAATCTTATTATGTACTTGCTAAAAGCATTTCTTTTATTAGGTCATTAGGAAAGTTGTGAAGTGTTTTTCTATGCCCAAAAAACCCTGTTTTTCATGACTTTCCCGATAACCCCAATACTTAAAGATAAAGGCTGTAGCATTTTTGATTTTTAAGAAATATGTAACTTTAAGTTTAAATCTGCTTTACTACTTTTTTAATTGGAAAAAGTCATGGTTTAATTTTACATTTAACATTTTGTTAAAATGTTAACACTGTGGAAATAGCAGAAGTGACTTCACAGTATTGAAGCAGACACACTTTTCTGTTTCTCGAGATAAGATTGCACGTGTGCGGCTGGCTCCATGACCTGGTGGTCAAGACAGCTGGATCCCGCATGGTGGACTGTGCGTCTTGAGTTCCAGACCCTGTGGCTTGAGGAACATGCCCGGCATTTGCTCCTGTGCCCACAGGCCCAGCAGAGTGGAGAGGCAGAAGAGAAGGGATTCTAGCGTGACCTTTCCCCCTCGGGGTGGGGGGCGCTTTTTCCTCTCCCGTTGTCTGTCTCTCATGAGCACGTGCTCCATTTTGCTAAATAGATAGATAATAAAAGATTACAAATGCAGATGCCATCTCATTTCTCTAAAGTTACCAACTGCAATGTTTTTATTTGTACCTTATGAGCAAAAGAAACCCCAAAAAACCATCGGGCATAGCTGGTACCACCAATATGGTTTAAATTTGATGAGGAACAAGTTTGTTACCGTTTTAAAGTGTGCAGTTCGGGATGAATGGAAGTGTTCACAGGCACACCTTGTTCTATCGCACTTTGCTTTCTTATACTTTGCAGATACTGCGTTTTTAACAATTATCAGTGATTTTTTTTTTTTTTCAAGATAGATTTTTGCTATAGGGAACATATGTTTGCTGGATAGACAGAGAGACAGAAAGTGAGAAATTACCCCCTTAAGGGGATGGCCATGCCACAGTCTCTTCACCTCCATTCTTCTCAGGATTTGGGGACACATGTACACACGCCTGGCATGAGTTTGGGACTCCCTCCTGGTCTGGGACTCAAACCACGGTTGGCCATGTGAGGGTCTAGCAACATAACCATTATGCCATCTACAGGTCCCAGTGATACATTTTTAACAAAAATATTGCCTACTTTTCAATCATTTTTACATGTTTAAAAAGCCTTTGTATTTCCTTTATTTTATAGGTATTTGAGATTTTTGGACCTGTGGCACATCCATTCTATGTGTTACGGTTCAATTCTTCAGATCACATTGAGAGTAAAGGTATTAAAATAAAAGAGACTATGTATTTTGCTCCGTCAATGGAAGACTTCACCCAATATATATTCACAGATAAACTTCAACAGTAAGTACTTCGTGCTTATCTACTATTTGTGTTTTAGGAAGGAGTCCCAGGGTTAAATGGTGTCTATTTGTCCAAGAGTCACTTATCTTACTAATATTGTATCTGAAAGCTGCAATCTTTTGCCAGTTTTGCAGGTAAAAACCATGTACATAATTTACCCAAATGACATGATCTGCCAGTAGGAACACGTTTGCACCGCATGTACTTTCTGAAGTTCCCAGTTCATTGTTTTTTTCCATTATACTCTTTCATTTATGTACCTCCTACTTTACTATTACTAACTTTTTTTCTTCAGTATTAACGTATTTTAAAAATTTTCTTTTTGATGTTAAATAAAATTCTCTTTGGATTACATTTCGTAGGTTTAACTGTTGCATAAATGTTATTTCAAATGTTGATTGCTTGCCGCGTGTTAACTGTAGCTCTGTTTATATCAGTGATGCTTATTGCTATTCCTTTTTTCTGTGTAAGCAAATGGCTTGTATTCAAGTAGGAAAGATTTTTTTTAACCATACAATTAAGTTAAATGCTTTGGAAAGATGTCATGAATACAAGTCACTAAAAAAATGATCAAATTAGGAGTGGAAGAAAAGACTGCAAAAGATTTGGGTGGCTCTTAAATTAAAAAAGACACATAGGTTCCTGACGGGTCTGGCTGACCTTTTTGTGGAAACTCAAAATCTAGGTGATACATTTCACGGTGCTGGTTTTTGTAGGACATGAAAAGGAACTTCAGAGAGTAGACCTGGAACTACATCACAAATGCTGGGCGCATGAAAATAGTTACAGACGCTGGACACCGTGTGGAAGGAGAGTGGGAGAAGAGAACAGTGTAGGGAAGGAAATTAGGGAGAAAAACAGAAGTAGGACATTTGTGGGACACAGAAATGATTCAGTACCTGTTGATGGTAACGTGTATAGTACTCGCACTGAACTGGTCTGAGGTGTTTTCATGTTGGGCAACTTCTCTTTACAAGTTAAATGATATATAGTGATTGAGTATATCAAAAAAATAAAGGAGAAAAATTGCTGGACCCAGTTGCATGGTGTAAGAAGACCTCTCTCTACCAGTTACATATAATAACAAGTCTCTGAGTTTTATTTATTTCGGAGATGAAAACCTAGGTGCAGATAACTAAACTTAGGTTTAAGAATCCCCATAAGTATCTGAAGGAATATTTTACTCAAGTTATTATTCAGGTTGTGTTAGATTAATTTTTCTGTATAATCACCAACCAGAAGAGTGAATTAAATCCATGTTAAGTTGTAAAGATTTTAATATATTTAAAAATAGTGCTTTATATTATGAATATTTCAGGATCCTGATACAGCCGATGCTGTATATTTAGATTTTAACAAAGTATTTTAGCATAAAGCAGATCAAAAAATGTTCTGAAAATGTTTATTAACTAATGCTAGATTTTGAACATGGGCACAGACTTTGTTCGTGATGTGCAGCTCTCCTGGAAGGAGGAAAGTCAGTCACAGAGCTGGGAGGTGCTGCTCTGCAGCAGCTCAGCCCAGGAAGCCGTGACATCATGGACTATGTCTGGCTGCCTGTCGTGGGCACCTGGGGAGTGCTGGCATCAGCCCTGGAGAGTTCAGCCTCTTCCTGGCCCTCTGGCCAGATGCCAGCTCCCCATGCTCTTCTGTTAGTGTTCTTTGAAGTGACACTTCATCTTCCCTTTAGTTTTTTGTTGTTGTTATTTATTTTTAAATTTGCTCGAGGGCGTGCACCCTCGCCAGAGAGAGAAGAAAAGTGAGAACGCATCCTCATCGGGAATGGTCACGGTATGTCCCTTCTCCATTTTTCCTTTCGGGATTTTGGCTGCGCGCGTGCGTGTGCGCACACACACAGACACTCACACGCATGCATGCAGAGTCCTGGTGTTTTTCAAGCTGCCAGGTTTGGGACTTGAACTGTGCAGTCGTCATGTGGGATCAAGCCTCCTTAACCACCTTAACCTCCACACCATCAGGGGGCCAGCCTTTAGTAATTTTTAAATTCTCGTGGTAGGTAGACTAGTTGGGGAACTTTTCCCATGATGTCTCTAAAGTCCAGGCCAAGGGAGCTGCAGTTCAGGAGGTGACATGTAAGGAGGAGTGTAGGCTCTGTTAAATGCACAGGTGGACAGAGACAACCGAGGGGACTTCTTTAATTGGTGGAAACAGTATGGACAGTGGCTTATCTATAAGGTCGGGTTCTGAATCAGGGATTTAAAACAAATTTAATGCTTTTCATTTTGTTCTAGGACACTGGCATCAGTACATTGATTTTAATGGCATTCATTCCTGAGAGTCTCATTTATTTTTGAGATCTAGTTTAAAACAGTAAGAACAACTAACTCTAATATTCTGTACTACTTTAATGTAATTAATAAGAGAGCCAAAACTATGAAATTGATACGATTGAAAATGAGCTTTCAGGAGGGCTGGACTGTGGCTCCGCAGTAAGTGCAGTGCCCTGTGAGACAATCCTCCATGGGGAGGTTCTTGGTTCGAGTCTGGAAACCTTGAGTATGTTGGACAAGCACACACTTGTCCACGACCCAGGGCTGGCTGAAGGTTGGGCATTGCTCACAGCACCAAGAGCCTGTTGAGGGTGCCATCTGTATCTGTCTGTCTCTTCTTCTCATGAAAGAAATAAATAAACTTTTTAAAATTTTCTTTATTCCATGAATGAATCAGAGATTCGGCAATCCTGACAGGATCTTGACCCTGTGATCAGCCCTCAGAGAGTCTTGGATTGTGGGCACAGGTGTCCTTAGGCAGGTCTCTGGACACAGGCCGGCAACCTTCCCACGTGGGTGTGTCTCCTGGGGCATTGTGTTATACCTCTGTCCCGTTAGGCCTCATACATTTTTTTTCTTTTAAATGAGCTTTCTGGAACTGTAATCAAACTTATAATAAATACATTTCCTTTTGCTGTTCAGAAAGTGTAAAACTTTCTGCCAAAAGTAATTAATTTTCAGCTACAACTACTCATTTCATATCTGCCTGTGATACGATTCTTCATAATCGTCAAAGCTCTTGCTCTCCCTGAACTGGCTGGTCTTTGTTTCACCCTCTTTGCTTTGAGAATCACTGTTGGAATCAGCCAGGGTTACTCATGAAGGATTGTCGGTATTCCTCAGGTGAAATGAGGAAAAGAGAATTTATGTAGTTATCTTGACCATCAGACCTCTCAAATCTTAAAAGGAGAATGCCTCCTATTTGTTTTTGTGTCCAGCACCTGGAACAATTTCCGATTAGTGTTGGTGTGAATAGCCATTTGTCGAGCTGAGCTTCACAAACACTTCAGGTGTCATGAAAATAAAAGTCGACCACAAGGCCGCTTTCCTCTGCACATTGCAGCCCTGGCTTCATTCTAATTTCTTAATTGTGGTATTTCTGTGTGTCTAACATTGCTTTATGAGCTTCCTGTTTCTTTGAAATAAGGCAGACACATAAATGGTCCTGAAGTGTTGATATTTTCATGCGTATTGCTAACTAAAGGCTGAGCTCATGTCTTCTGCTTTGTTTTCCATGCTGGTAAATTATAAGCAGTTAACAAAATGGTAATAAGTACTTCTTTGACTTTCCTCTCTCTAGGGATAGGGGGTCAGATGCATCATGGAAGAATGATCAGGAACCACCACCAGACGTAAGGATGTGTTTCTATACGGTATCTTAGAATGTAGGGTGGGACTTCATCTTGTAAACTCACAATTCTTGACTGAGGGAGGCATTACTGCTACTCGGCAGTCTGTCTGTCACCTCCACGCCCGTGTTCTGCTTGCATGACTGCTTTATGCCTTTCAGTGAAAACTTTTGATACCATTTTAGGAAAAAATGTTTTTAGCTACATTTTTATAATTACTTTATTGACTTATTCACCTTATAATTCCCTGTTTTTATTGACTTTGTTGATAAATGGTAAATACTGAAAGTCATTGTGTAAAATGTGGGACGTGACGTTTGTTTTGATACTGGTAATCATAAGCTATGTTTTCGGAGATGTAAAATCACTAGAATCGACCCATCCTTGTGTTTGTTTTGTTTTTATTTGCTAGAGTATGTGTGCATTTGCCAGAGAGAGAAGGAAAGAGAAAGTACCCGCTGTGGGGTGGTCATGCGTGATCCCTTCTCCAGCTCTCCTTTTAGGGTTGTGGGCATACACGCACATGCATGTGTCCAGCATGCGTCTCAAACTGCTGGGTCCAGGACTGCGCTGCCGTTGGTGATGTGGGATCTAACTGCCTTAACCACCGTGCCACTGGCTGGCACTTTTGTTTTTTTTTTTTTTTTAACATTTATTTTATTTAACTTTATTTATTTACTTAAGTTTGACCAGAGAGGGAGAGAAAGTGAGAAAGCAAGTTACCAGGTCTGGGACTTGAACTGCATCAGTCACGTGGGAGTCCAGTGCCCTTAATCACCACGCCACCTGCTGGCACCCTGGCTCTTCATTTTTACAATCTAACTGTTTTCCTAAAAGAGTTCTCTTGATTGATTTTTTTTTTTTTTTAATCCATGTCAGCAAGAAAAAAATAGTTTTATGCCCTGAGGTGGCTTGATCTAGTTTTTTCATTTTTTTAATTATTAAAATACAAAAACTGCAGCAGTGCCCGTGTTTATTTCTGAGAAAATGTGCACGTGCACATTATAAAAGAAAAATATAATTATTATAGATGACATTTTTAAAATGTGCTTAGGAGTTCTGATCAGATTTTTTGGTACTGTGGGTTTGGGGTATCTGTAGATTTTTTGACCCCTGAAGATGTCTGCAATGCTGAAGAACATGCTATATGTTAATTTCTAATTTTACTGAGGCATGAATTACAGTCAAGCCCTCAGAGAGTTTTATACAGATGTGAATCACTTAGTCAACGAGTGATCCTAGCTCAGGGTCACAATGAAATGAGATGATGATTTCTAGTCACGGCATCCGCTTACCATGCTCAGTTAGATTTAGAGTGTCTATTGCCCGAATTATATGGCTTTTTGTTTATTCGTTTCAGTAAGGCCTTACTAAAAACTTCATACAAAACATTCATGTATATTTTATTTCTTTTTAACCTTGTACACATGCTTACACAGTGAGCTTGCTTTAATACACTTTTATATGAAACATAAAAAACATGTTTTCTGGTGTTAACATGCCTAAATTATAAGAAATCATGTCATTCATTATGTATAGCTTATAAATCTTATTTATTTGGGAGGCTTATTAACAGTGAACCCTAGTTATTGGTGACAGCTGAATACATCATCATTCTATAATTTAAAATGATTTTCTCTTAGAAGTTGGATCATATATGTATCCGTGTTTAAAAGACTTTTCCTACAGTCCAATCTATTTTATGCCTTTATTTTGTCTCCTTATTTACAACCCTTACTATATAAATAAAATTATATTATTAAAACTGCAAATAATTAAACCTGTTCAAGTGTTAGAATAGTGCCTGGCATGTAATGGGTATGTGTACAGTTTTCAGTGACTGAATTATAGAACATATTCTTACATTTTTATGTTGAATCCGAAAATGGGCTTAGTTTGCTTAACCCTGACCACTCCTTCCTTTCACTATGGTGTATCTTAGGTTTAAGCTGGCAGGCATGCTTCCAGCCAGAGAATGCCTGCAACCAAAGGTTGTTAAAAGATTGCCATTTTAAAGTTATTTATCTGAAACTATTTAGGAATTAAACAAAAAGTAGAATCCTAAGTATTCATGGTTATTGATGATCTGTGTTAAGAGTCATTAACCAGTTTTCAAAAATTGCTGTATTTTACTACCATGTCTAATTCAGATATTACTAGAAAATATTAAGGATTAAAAGGGAAAACTATTTTCAGGGTTATTGGTAAAAGGCTAATTCTTCTCTAAGTTTGTTCTTTTGAATTGGCAAATCCATGTGACATTAACTCTGTGTACATTTATCTGCAAGGCCTTAGATTTCAGTGATGATGAGAAGGAAAAAGAAGCCAAACAGAGGAAAAAGTCTCAGATTCAAGGCCGGAAAAAACTTAAATCTGAATGCAGTGAGCCAGGTGAGTGAGTGCAATATGTAGTCATGCTTTCTCTTCATTTACTTCTATGTAGCTCCTCAGTAACAGAACGAGGGGGTGGGGGGAACATCTGTGTTTTCTGTTTCCCTCCTGGCCTCCAGCTAGCATCAGAGGCATTGCACAGCATGGAGTTTGTGGGAGTCACCTAGAATGTTGAGTGGTCGTTCTCTAAGTTTAACGGGGAGCAAAATGTCTGATGGGGTGGTAGATGAGCTAAGAGTCCTTTGTGCTTAGCACTTTTTTTTTTTTTGGAGAGGATTTTGCTATAGGGTGCGTGCGCTCGCCAGACAGACAGAGAGAGACATAGAGACAGAAAGCGAGAAATCACCCCCCCAGGGGGGATGGTCATGCCGCAGTCCCTTCTCCTCCATTCTCCTCTCGGGATCTTGGGCACGCACGCACATGCACCCGGCGTGAGTTTTAAGCCACCGGGTCCGGGATGCGAATCGCGGTCAACTACGTGGGAGTCCAGCGACATAGCCATTATGCTAACTGCTGGTTCCCAGCACTTTTTCTTAAGTAACCTATTTGCTTCCATTTTTAGAATTTATGGGAAGGCACATAATTAGTATGTAAATCCTATAGTATATTCTAGTCTCTAGCTTGTTTTTTTATCCTTAAGATAGCCTGTTGCAGAACAAAAGTTTTTAATTTTGAGAAAGCCCAGTTTATCAGTTTTTCTTTTTATGGAGCTTGAGAACTCCATCCCCAGCCCTGGATCCTAAAGATTTTTGGTTTCTTTCCTTCTTTTTCTTTTTTTCCTTTTCTAGAAGTTTTGTAAACTTTGGCTTTCCTTTTTTTTTTTTTTTTTTTTTTACAGCAAGATTTTTACTATAGGTTGTGTGCACTCACTGGGGAGACAGAGAGACATAAAGAGAGAAAATACCCACCTGGGGAATTGGCCATGCTGCAATCCCTTCTCCATTCTCCTCTCGGGATTTTGGGCGTGCAACTGGTATGAGTTTTAAGCTGCTGGGTCCAGGACTCAAACCACAGTCGACTATGTGGAAGTCAAGGGATGTAACCATTATACCATCTGCTGGTCCCTGGTTTTACATTTTATATCTGTGATTCACTTTGAGTTAAATTTTGTATAGGATTTGAGAGATAGCTGAGTGTTCTTTTTTTCATTTATGAATGTCTAAATTTTTTCTGCACCATTTCTTGAAAAGCGGTGGTTCCTCCAATGAATTACTCTGGAATATTTGCCAAAAAGTAATTGGTGTATCTGCTGGTATGATTTGGTACTCTCTGTTCTCTTTCACTGTCTACCACAGTCTCGATTATTATAGCTGTGAAGTCTACTGTAGCTAAAAGGGATACCTTCTACTTTTATCTTCTTTTTCTTTTTTTCTTTCCTTTTTTTAAAAAATTTTTTTAATAGACCATAGTTTCGCTTATTTTTAACACCCTTCATGCCATGAATTCATAGGGAATAGGTTCCAGTAGCTCAGGCTCCTTTCCATCGGTTCTCACACGGTGTGCTTCCCTGGGTGGAGCAGGCTGGTGCTTTAGTTGAACCCAGGTCCCTTTCTCTTTGGCTTCCTTCTTTTTCTGGTCATTTTCCTTCACATGTTTTAGGAAGCTACCTCTGTTCTTAGAATGCTTAATATGCTCAATACGCACATTAATTCTCTTGGTAAGAATCTTGCCCTTGTTTGTTTACAATTCCAGTAGCATGCTGGGTAACATTGTAGACTCTTCCAGTTTTGCTGTGGTAACATTTGTGGGGCATTCCTTTTTGAATGGTACCCATTCCCTTGGTGTCTACACTATCACCTTTCTTGTAGATTTGCATGGATATTGCCAGAGGAACACCCCATGTTTTCTAAAAGACCTAGAGAGCATGTATCAGGCACCTCTCCTCTTTCCTTTTGTGTTCGTCATTCCTTTCGTGTTTGTCATTTTGGTGAATGACTGGAAGATGGCGGTTCTGGCCAGAAGGCCTCTTTTTCAAAATTATATTAGCAATTTAGTTCTTTTGCCTTTTCCTATGAATTTTAGAAGAATCTCTACATCAACAAAATATCTTGCTGGGATTTTGATAGGAATTGCAGTAATCCTGTGCATCAATTTGGAGAGAGTTGACAGCTTAGCTGTGTTGAGTTTTACATTCCAGGAACATGGTACATAACTTCATTTATTTAGGCCTTGGGATTTCTTTCAGCAGCATGTTGTAGCTGTCGGAATCCAAGCCGTATGCATTTTTTCACATTTACTGTCTCTAGGTATTTCCATTGTTCTCTGTTTTAGTTGGCTGATTCTTCCCTCTGTTGCCTCCGTTCTATTGTTCAGCCCATCCACTGAACTTTATTTCCTTAAGACTTTTTTTAGAGCAGGTTTAGGTTTACAAAAGAATTGCAGAGATAAGTACCATAAATTCTCTGCTGTACACATACACAGCTTCCCTTATCAACACCCCTCACCTGCATGGTACATTTGTTATAGTCAACGAATCTCCATTGTCACCTTATAATTACCCAGAGGCCACCGTTCACATTAGGGTTTACTCGTGGTGCTGTATGTTCTGTGGGTTTGGACAGATGTATATAGTGACATGTGTCTTCTGTTATTGTGCCATACGGAGTCTTTTCATTACTGTAAAAGTCTTGTGTGCTCCATCCGTTCATTACCCAGTCCCTGGCAACCACTAATCCTTTTTATTGCATCTGTATTTTTCCAGAATGTCTTCGAGCTTGAATCATAGTATATAAAGCTTTTTCAGATTGGCTTTTTTCACCTAGTAATACGCACTAAAGTTTCCTTTCCGTGACCCAATAGCTCATTTATTTTAAGCACTGCATATTATTCTGTTGTCTGGATGGGATGTACCATATTTTTTTTCTTTTTAAATCCATTCACCCACTGAAGGATATCTTGATAGCTTCCTAGTTTCAGCAGTTATGAACAGAACTGCTCCAAACGTCCCTGTGCAGGATTTTGTGTGAATATAAGTTTTCAACTCATTTGGTAAAGACCAGAGCACAGGATTGCTGTATCACATAGTGTAAGATTAAGTTTAGTTTAGTTTAGTTTTTTTTTTTTTTGGGGGGGGGGGGGGTTTTTGCTTTAAGGGCAACAGTGTAAGACAGAGACATAAAACAAGGAATCACTCCCCAGGGGGGATGGCCACACCACAATCCCTTCTCCTCCATTCTCCTCTCGGGATCTTGGGCACCTCCATTCTCTCTTGAGATCTTGGGCATGCACATACATGCTCCTGGTGTGAGTTTAAGCCACTGGGTCCAGGACTTGAAATGCAGCCAGCTACATGGGAGTCCAGCGACATAGCCCTTACACCAACTGCTGGTCCCGTAAGTTTAGTTTTAAAAGAAACTTTTAAACTATCTTTCATAGTGGCAGTGCCATTTGTGTCTCTGCCAGCAGTGGATGAAAGTACCCAATTCTTCTTTGCTGGCATTTGGTGTTATCAGTGCTAAACTATCTTTCATAGTGGTGGTGCCATTTGTGTCTCTGCCAGCAGTGGGTGAAAGTACCCAGTTCTTCTTTGCTGGCATTTGGTGTTATCAGTGTTTTGAATTTTGGCCGTTCTGATAGGTGTATGGTGGTATCTGAGTGCTGTTTCAATTTTCATTTCCCTGAAAAGGCATATGATATAAAACATCTTTTTCATACATGTTTTTGCCATCTGTATATCTTTTTTGGTAAAGTATCTGTTAAGGATGTTGGCCCATTTTTTAAGTTGAATTGTTTTGTTATTGAGTCTTAAGTGTTGGTTGTATGTTTTATGGAAAACTGCTTTATCATAAGTGTCTTTTGCAGATATTTTCTCTCAGTCTGCGACTTTGAGAAAATGGTGCCACATTTTCTTCTGTGGAGTTTGGCTGGAGTCAAGTGTTTAATTGTCTTGTTTTCTGTCTTGCTGGCTTTCTCATTGCTGAACCTTCAGCTTTCAATTTATTTAAAATAGAATATGTTAAGCATTGTACTTTTTTACTGCCACAAGATATACTGCAAATGAAAGAAAAGATGTTATGTAATTTTCAAACAGTCCTTTTAAGTGTAAATAAACTATTTTAATTTTGTTTTTATGCTCCTCCACCCCCCACAGGTGAAGACTTTGCTGAAGTCCACCAGAATTGGAATGCTCACGGCTCTGCTCTGGAGCATGCGAAAGGATACCGCAACAGAGAGTTTACTCGGGGCTTCTCCAGGGGTAGATACCCTCGGCCTTGCCACAGGCCTCTGCAGGGCTACAGCTCAGAGCATAGGGCGTCCCAGGAGACTTCAGGGTTTCCACCTCAGAGACAAGATAGTCCTGTCATGCCACAGTATCCCTTCCCTCCTCCGGTGTTTGACATGCACAGTTTCTCACTCCCCCCACCACCGCCCCCATTCATTTTGGATCTTACTATTAGGTGAGCGTATGCATTTCCAGGGACATGTGCACTTTTCATACTATTTGGTAAGGATTTATTTTTAAAGAAAAGAGTGATTATGGGCATAGATTTTTAAAAACATTGTAAAATATTGAATGATTCCTTCAGTTATAAGTTGATATATATTTGTAACTTTTGTGAAATTATATTCATGTGAAATTTCAGCTCATATTTTTTGGGGAAAATCCAATTATGAAGTACTTAATTAAAACTTTGAGTCCATGCCTTTCCTCACCCCATGCAGTTAAATGATACATATAGTAATGGATATGGAACAAGTTTCATCATGAATTAAAATACACTAACATACCGATGGTCATTTTGGCATAATCTAAAAGTAAGATCTTGAAGTCCTGTTTGGTCTTTAAAATAAACTATTTTTATAAACCTGTACTTTGGAGGTTGATTTTTATTTATTTTTTAGAAGAGAGATTTTTGCTATAGGGCACATATGCTCACCAGAGAGAGAGACAGAGAGACAGAAAACGAGAACTCTCCCTCACCCCCGGGGGGATGACCATGCTGCAGTCCTTTCTTTTCCATTCTCTTCCTTGGATCTTGGGCGTGCATGAACACGAGCCCAGTGTGTGTTTTAAGTCACTAGGTCTGGGATTCGAACTGAGGTCAACTACGAGGGAGTCCAGTGGTGTAGCCATTTCGCCATCTGTTAGTTCCGGTTGATTTTTATTTTAACTATAATTTGCCAATAAATGTAAATGATCCTAGTTTTTTTTTTTTTTAAAGTAAATGAAGGATGTGGAGGAGGAAAGTGTTGCATATTGGCAGAAGCTCTGACTATAATCAAAGTTAGTATTAAATTAAGCATAGGCAGGATTCTACTTGAGCAGATTTCCATTATTCTGGCACTATTCAGCAGGCTTTTCCATGTAACCACTTATAAGGTGTGCAAGAAGTACTTATATAAGATGTATTTTGGGGTCATATCTTTTGTAATATCTGTCTCCCAGATTCCTACCTGCCTGGCACAGATTAGGTACTTAATAAATATTTGTTGAATGACTCTTGAATTTAGAGTTTTAAATTAAGTAAACAGTGACTCTTTTTTTACATCACAAAGTGTAAATGTAAGAGAAATTATGGAATTTTAGAACTAGAAAAGGCTTTTGAAATAATCTAAACTAGTTCTCTGTAATCGTGATCCCAGAGAGGTGAAGTAACCTAAAGCCACCCAGCTGGTGAAAGGCAAAGAGCTAAGCCTGGTTCTCCTGTCTCAGATCAGCCTCCCTTTTGGTTGATGCTTCTCAACTTTTCGCTCCTTGACACGCGTAGAAAACATGTAATGTGTGTGAACCTGGAGAGCACTGGGCACAAGCCTGTGGACTCTGGTTACCTGAGGCCCAGCTTCGTCTCTTCATGGGATGTGAGTGCTTTTAATACACGAGTTTCTTAGTGCACAGGTCGAGAAGCTCTGTCTTGGTATATCTTGACTTTATGTATGTACATTCCTCCTTTTTTCAGTTTGTCTGAGGGTGTATGTGTTTCTCAGAGAGGGAAGGGCGGAGATAGCACCCTCCAATGGCACATGGTCATGGCTGCAATTTGGTCTCCATTTCTCCATCCTTTGGGATTTGGCGCATATGGGCACATGCATCCAGTATGTTCTACAGGCTGCCAGGACTGGGATTTGTATATGGTTTGCCACGTGGGATCCAGCTTTCTTAACTACTAGGCTATGGGACCAGCCTCACTTACTACTTCTTGAAATGCTTTTAGTTTCTCTTTAGGGGTCAACCTTCACATCTTATGCCACAGCTTCTTTGTGGTTGGTCAGATATTGTAAAAGTTAGATAACATTATGTCTAAGAGCACTGAGATTTAAAAAAAATTTTATAAAAATGAGAAAAGTAAGATGTTGTGATAAGGCATCAGGCTGTTGTAATCACCATGACATTTAAAAGATCCTTCAATTTTTGTCCCTCAAGTACTGGTGTATGACAAGGAGTATTATCCAAAGAAACTAAGTACTGAAGTATACCATTTGGCCCCAACCTTCAATTAAGTTGGTGCTTTAACCACTTACATGCAATTTGTGTTCTTTTCTATACCTCATTTAGGACTTTTGAAACCTTGGGATGCCTAGGAATCTCTTGGATGGTTTGTTACAAATGCACGTTCTTGAGCTTCATCTCTAGATTCGAATTGGGTAGGTGTGAGATAGAACCTACAGGACTGTTTTTAACAGTTACTCTGAGTGATTAATTTGATGTTTCATTGTTAGCATGCCAATATTTCAGGGCAAATGTACCACTGCAACTTCTTGGCCATTTGCTGTGGAACTTCAAGAAGTTCTGTTCAGGGAGGCAGTGAGGATGTGCAGGTTGGCAGCAAGAAAAAGGTAAATAAAACCGCAGCTATTTAAATTGTATCCTTGGCATCTCACTTGGTTCTTGGAGGTGTATTTTGTCAATTACATCTATCTTTGGAGTTTCAGAGGAGGAAGGCAACTGCTGCTGTTTCGAACATGTCCTTGCCAAAATCTGTGTGTTGGAAATTTGTCTCAGTTGTGGTATGGAGAGGTAGGACCTTTGGGGAAGTAATGAAGTCGGGAGGATGTCTGACACTTTCCAGTCTCCAGAGTTAGGAGGAATAAATTTGTATTGCTTATAAATTGCCCAGTCTGTGAAAGTTTGCTACAGCAGCACAAATGGACCAAGACAACCGTTTCTTTGCTTTGAAAGAGAAATAATTACAGTTATCATCCCCACCTTAAATCTTGAAATGTTTTAAAAATCCTATGGCCTTAAATCTTTAAACTCTTCAGTGATATAAAGATACATGCATAAAATGTTCTACCATGTAGTTTCTTACTTCAAATAGAATTATTTTTATTATCTTCTATAGTAAGATAAGGTTGATAGTAAGAATTGTAACTGTTTCTCTTGTCTTTTATAGGAAGGTAATGATGTCCATGGTAATTAGATGACTTGTATACTTACTAGAAGTAGAAATTGAAAGAACTGTGCTGAGAACTGTCTAGTGGAGACCTGGAATAGAAAGCATTTTCTAAATGTAGTAAAGAACACATCTTAGTCTGATCTGTGCTGTTGTAGGAGAGTACCACAGGCTGGGGTTCACTTGTAATGAACGAAACTTATTGGCTCACAGTTCTGGAGGCTGGGAAGTATAATATCAGGGTGCCAACCTGTGGCCAGAGCCTCGCTCCATTTTCATATGGCGAGAGGCAAGAGGGGGCTCTACAGATCCTTTCATAACAGTGCTGATCTCACCCGTGACGTGAAGGAAGCCCTTATTGTTTCCTTACCTCTTCAAGTTCCCACCGCTTAACTCTGTTACAATGGCAGTTAGATTTCACCGTGCGCTTTGAGGAGTACAAACATCTTAACCATAGCGGGGTGTTTCTTGAAAACTATATAGTCACATTTCACAGTTTAATTTCAAAACATGTACATCTCTTCGATGTAGCTAAATGATTAATAATTGATTCTAAATTATCTATACTAATGGGACATGGGGAAATGTAAATAATAAACCTTGGCAGGGCCCCTATGTGCAGAAGTCTGCATTGGGGGCAATGAAGAATATAGAATGCTTTCTCCTCCTCTTCCTCTTGACCCACATTTGTCCTTTGTCACTTCCCACCCTCCTCCCACCCTTTGTGCTACTTTTTTTGTTACTTGCTTAGAACTGGTTAACACCAAGTACATTAAAAAAATATTAGGCCATTTGATGAATAAGAAATGAGTAGAATTGGAGTTTTAAGCTGTTAGATAAACATGAAATGCTATTTAAAATCCCCAGGTACTAAACATCTTAGTGTACGTTTCAAGGACAAAGTTTCCTAAGGTAACTATGGGATTGATTTGGGGAAATGTAGATTCTCAAACATATGTCATTTGTATGTATTTTCTTAATGTTGCATTTGGCATTTTGGGTTGATTTTATAAATTTATATCAAGAATTTGAGAAAAGATGTTTAATTGGTCTCAGATTTCATATTTTTATCAGATTTTAGATTATTTGCATATATTTAATGAGATATCTTGGGGATGGGATTCAAATCTGAATAAATTTTATTTTTGTTTGATATCCTGGCTGTCTTATACATAGCCTGGAGATAATTTTATGCATCGTTTTTGTCTTGCAGTATGTTGACTGTGATTTGTAATACGAGGTTAGATATGGAGTTTTCTCCTTGTGGCATCATGTCAATACTCCATACGTTTTGGAATTTATATTTCTGTGCCTGACTTATTTCACTTAACATGATGTCCTCCAAAGCTTGCTCATTTAATAGCCAATGACAGGATTTAGTGGATGTGTAGTACTCCAGTTTATGTATACAAGCACATATATACATAAACACAAATATACAACACATTTTCTTGATTTATTCTTCAGTTAGTTGGTGGGCCCTTAGGTTGATTCCATATCTTCGCTATTATGAATAAGGCTGCAATAAACACAGTGGTAGAGATATCTTTATGACATACTGATTTTCTCTTTTTTGGATATGTATAGTGATATTACTGGATCATATGGTGGTTTTAGTTTATGAAAGAACATCCATACTGTTTTGCACAGTGATTGTGCTTATATTCTCTCCAGTGTATAAAAAAGTGCTTCTTTCTCTGCATACAGACCAGCATTTGTTACTTTTTGATAGTAGCCATCCTAGCTGAAGTAAAGCGATAACCTCCTTGCAGTTTTAATTTGCATTTGCCTAATGACCAGCCATGCTAAGCATTTTTTTCATGTGTTTGTTGGCCAATTCTCTTTTGCGAACTGTTTATTCAGGTCATTTTCCCATTTTTAAAACTGGGTTATTTTTTCTTTTGTTACTGAGTTTGCTGGAGTTATTTGCATATTCTGATTATTAGCTCTTGCCAGATGTACAGTATACAAATATTACCTTCCATTCTATTGGTTGTCTTTTCAGTCTGTTGGTTGGTTTCTTTTGCTATGCAGAAATTTTTCAGCTTGATGTAATTCTGTTTATTTTTG